AGCCGATTCACGGTATATCTATGCAGCCCTGGGCCATCGCATTGCTGTACTGTATTTTGCAAGGTATGCATATTCTCGTTAAGGCACTCTTTAAATAGCTGAAATAATAAATTGCGGCGTTAGAAGGCCCTGTTGTAATCTTAAAATAAACAGCAGCGCGCACCAGACTAGCCGGTGCGATCATGCGTTTTGTGCAATTCAGCCCATTGGACGATTGCCTATCAATGATTTTCACTGCTTTGTACTTTTGTTTATGCAAAAATAGTTCAAACATTGGAAAACAGTTAAAAATTTCACGCACCAGCGCGGAAAAGCTGAATTCGAAACCTTGAAAGGCCTGGCTGTCATTCTGCTGGTGATCCTAACGTTCGTTTCGTTTTTTTTTTTTGCAAGAAGTGCCACCTCAGCAAGCCCCCTCCTCCCTCCCCCCTTACTCTCCCGCTCCTTCCTCCTTCCCCCACTGCTTGATCTTTTGAAAAATCGTTTCTTTTTTAAATAGAAACGAATTTTGAAGTAGGAAGAAGATTAAAAGAGAAAAAATATCATGGAATTAGTAAACTTATTTTAATAAAATTATTATAATAGTAAAAAACGTTTCGGTCCATTAAGTCGTATACATTTCTCACCGTTACCACAATTGGACCTCGCGTCAGTACGACAATTGTGGTAGTTGTAATTGTCATAAATTTAATTTAAATTAGTTACTTTAACTTACTAGTAAAAGTACATGTTAGTTAAAGTAAAAAGTATTGCATAAAAAGTAAGGTAGCATTTTGTCGAGGGTGGGCTTGTTGATTCCATTGGCTTATTGGTCCATAAAACCTTTTTTTTAACTCTCGTATTCATTAATGTTTTCGCGATTAATTGTACTTCCCGTGCATTTAGGCAAGTGAAGCGATGGCTGGAGGTGCCCAACAACATTGTGCAGCTCCTTCCATTCGGCCATGTTATAGTGGTAGTGGACGTGAAAAGTTCTTTGTACGTCTTGGATATCGAGAGCGGTGAGCAGTTGCTTCAGCTCGATTCACCGGCACTGTTCGATTTCTCGGCGATAACGCATCCAGCTACTTATCTGAACAAAGTTTTGCTCGGATCAAAACAAGGTGAGAAATCGGTCTCTATAGCAAAAATGATCGTGGCACCTGCCTTGTCTTTATTGGCCAAAAACTCCACTGTTTTTTAAGCCAATTCAGAGGTCAAAATATCAGTTCACACTTTGTTTTTTTTTTTTTTTGCACCATCCACTTGTTTTAAGATTACGATTCGGCAATTTATTATTTATTTTAATTTTAAATTAACTGTTTTAATTTATTCAATTATTGAATTTTAATTTAATTTAACAATTAATTTTAAGATCCGCAATTTATTATTCCTGTAATCAAAACTTCATTTCTATATATAATGTTGGATATTTTGATTCATAGAGCCAGCTGTGGTACTCAGCGCAAGATTTTGGCGGGAAAAAAAAGAAGATATGGCTTATTCTTAGAGTGAAACTTTTTTTTCGCAAGACTGTGGACTGGCCTCGCCTAGCGCCGACGAACCCCGCCCAGACGAGTCCCCTCGCGACTAGCTAGAACCGTTGGCGGATTCGGGGGAGGGGAGGGTGTAGTGACGAAGGAAGAAGGTGAGGTAAAAAATCCCCCCCCCCCTCCTCTTCTCACCCCCTGGAGACCGCGCTGGATCTCCCTGTGACTCAGGATTCCTTCATACTGCCTCTCCGTTGCACTGTGCTGGAACGCTAATGACATGGCGAAACTTTCTTGACAAAACATTAACGCACAATAACGGACAAAGTAGAGAATAGAAAAAAAAAAAACAGAAACACTGGTACTTTCACACACTTTTCTCGTGCAAAACTCAACAAAGATCACCAGGAAAGGAACAGATCACCAAGTCAAACAAACATCACAAATTTGCTTGAGACGTCTACTCGCCATCGGATGTTCATGTTGCCCAATAAGATAGCTTGGAAGTTGATTTTGGTGTACAGGCCACGTTTTTTGATAATTCTCGATTGCTGGACGCGTTTTTAGCCATTTTCGGGAGCATCAAAATAGGCTTTTGGTTGTCATAATGAGCCTAAAATATAAAACTGTGCGAAAGCGTTTGTGTTCCCATCCGATTGTTGTTCTTGACGGGCTCACTTCTACTCTAGGGTGTTCCTCTCTCTGAATTGCTCAAGGGCCCCATGTCATGAAAGCTGTTGAGCAGAATTTCCTCATTTAAAGATTTTCCGAAAAGTTTTCTTCTTTTCATTTTTTAGCGTTTTTCTGAACGGACTCCAACTGTTTTCAATCTTTTTTTTAGTATATTTGTAATTAACATAGTTGTAAATATAGTTGTAAGGTTTTTGCGGTTTTTAACATAGTTGTAATGTGCTAAATTTTAAGGTACAATGCGACTTGTAAATGTAAAAACGGGGAAGCTGATCCATGAATTCGAGAAATCGTTCGGTTCCGAAATTGCGGTACTCGAACAGTCACCGGCTATTGATGTAATTGCTGTTGGCTTGAAAAATGGTCGGATTTTGTTGCATAATATTAAATACGATGAAACGATACAGCAATATAAGCAAGATGGAGCAGTAACATCCATCTCATTCAGGTTCGAATCTTTCTTTTTTGCATTGATTGGACTGATGAATGAACGAATTCATCATAGGAGGAGGAGAGGAGGAGGAGGGGGGGGGGGGGGG